TCGAAGTCAATCAGCTTCAAAGAATGTGGTGGACATTAGAGAGGATTCTTTCGTAGTGAAAACTCCATCTCTGCCAAAATCGAGGAACAACTGCAGCAGCACGAAAAAGAGATATGCTACTTTGCTTTCATCTGGAATCTCTTCTGCTGAACGAAAAAGAGAAGGGGTTTTCACTTGAATCATAGAATCAAAACAGGGCAATAGCTAGGTAAAAGCCATTAATCATCATACCGAGGATACCATAGATCGCAGGCCTCCCAAGGAGCTGATGACAATGGAGCGATTATAGAGTTTGGGAGCTTTGGATCTTTCTAATTGTGGATTTGCATTACATTAAAAAAGAGAGGATTGTGTTCTTGAGTTTTTCACAGAGAGGGAAAAATCTTCAGCTGAAGTTGGGTTTCCAAACGGGTCAGATTTCAACCCGGTTCTACATGCACCCTCTTTTAAAAACTCACCGTTGGATGAAATCCAACGGCTCTTACATACCCCTCAAAAAAACCCCTTATAACTTTATAGAAGCACTCTCTAGTCTCAGGGTTCTTGGTTGGAGAGTTAAAGGCCCACTAATAACTTTGGGCATTTAAGGCCCATTAATAACTTCGGAGACATATGAGGAAATCTTGGAAATTTTTAGAATTTGTCATGATTTTTGGGTAGCATTTGATCTCGATTGATTAATATTACAAATTTGACCTTCGGATATAAACATGGGGAAATTATCAAAAAGTCCTTAAAATCCAAGATGCTTCTAAACCCGTCCTGATTGCTTCCAAATAAAAAGACTTGCAAGTCTCGTTCCTTTCACTCCACAAAAAATAATGCATTTTTGTAATGTGTATATGAATTTGCTTTTTTATTTTTGGTGTATATGAATTTGGTTGATTGTTTGTGTGCATTTGATGTGATGTGCATATAATGTGTAAGTAGAAGTGTCGAAAGGAAAACAATATTGTATATAAGGGAGGGAGAAGTCTGTAAAGTGAGAGCATTAGGTGATAAACATTTATAAAATAAAATAAAAAACAGTGGTAAACATAATTTTCTCATTCACACTTGCATTAAAGCGCAGCAAGGAAGAGAAATTGGCACAAGGGGAAGAGATATCGACATTGGAGTCAATACAATATAAGTGAAACCCTAAATTTTCAAAGATATCGTTTAGCTAATAGACGAATCCTCTATCGTCCAGCAACTGTGGTATTAGACAAGCCATTTACTGATATAATTTGCAACTTCCTTCTACTTATATTTACATCAGACACAATAACATTTCTTATTGTGATGAATGCTGGCCTTGTAGGTAATGGCAATGAAATTGTTTCAGTGGTCAACATAGATACGACGTCAGACATGCAGGGCCGATCAGCTGCATTTTCTTCCACGCATAACAGACCAACATGGAAGCATCTTAACAATTGATCTTCAGTACATGAATCCTTTAGTGTTGGATCCATTAGCTCTAGCCCCCTGCCTTCTTTCCATAACTCCCATGCCTGAAAAAATATTGCACTCATTTAATTAAGTTGTTGAAAGATTCATGATATATATGTTCACAACTCAAAAAAGAAAATGTTAATCGTAAATTTGATTTGTAAGACATACATATCCTACTATATTGAGCACGTGATCAGCAATGTAGAAGCTACTATTTCTCCTACCACTAATGATTTCAAGCATTAACACCCCAAAACTATAGACGTCAGATTTTATCGAAAAAATCCCCTCCATAGCGTACTCGGGAGACATGTAACCACTGTATCATATAAAAAACAAATATATTTAGTATATGTTTGTAAGTACAGGTTTAGCAATGTCAAAGTGGTGAGAGGCATAATAATTTATAATGTATACGATCTACTTACTATGTTCCAACAATCCTATTAGTACTTGCTTCAAGTTCATTATGTGTAAAAATTCTCGCCAAACCAAAATCAGAAATTTTGGGCTTCATATATTCATCAAGTAGTATGTTACTAGCTTTTAAATCTCTGTGAATTACTCTCATTCTTGAGTATTTGTGCAAGTAAAGCAGTCCTTGAGCGATTCCTTCAATTATGTTGAACCGCTTCGTCCAATCTAGTAGCATCGCTCTGGTTGAATCTGTCCAAATATATCCATGAAAATTGCTCTGGAAATGTCAGATTATTCGAATAGAAGAAATCAAGTAACTAAGATTAAAGTGATGGAGAATATCAATTGCCGACCGAATATAAAGTAGTCCAAACTTTTGTTTGGCATGTAGGCATAGATTAACATCCTCTCTTCCCCATGAATGCAGAAGCCAAAAAGCTGAACGAGGTTTGTATGTTGGAGTTCAGATATGAGTATCAATTCATTCTTAAACTCCAAAGTTCCTTGCCCTGAACATCTTGAAAGCCTCTTCACAGCGATTTCTTGTCCCGTCACAAGTTTTCCCTTCATTAATAATCCATAATA